GGAGAGAGGGCAGGAGGGAATTGTTTGTGCCTTGGAGGAGACAGAGGGGACTGATGGGGTATGGCTCAAACCTGGTCGGGGAGCTGGGATTTCTCGCGCACTTTGTCTGTGACTTTATTTTTTTGCGCGGAGGGGCAATAATGAGACCTCCCAGGCTTCATCCAGGCCTGGGAGGCTGGTGGAGGGGAAGCTGCACTTTGCAAGCCAAGCAGCAAGTCCCATGCACAGGCCACATAGGCTGGGATGGAAGTACCCAGGGGCCTGCACCTCTTACGAGGCTTGCAGGCAGCCCAGGCCAGGCGTGTACCCATGCACCCCTTGCCCGCCCCTAGCCCCAGGGGCTCGGGTGCAGGGCCCTTGGCCCGCAGGCTGCCTGGGCTCCAGCAGCAGGCGTCGCGGCCCCTTTAAGAGGAAACGCATCTGTTTGTTATCCTCCCACCCCGCTCCCATGCTGGCAGCCCCAGCGCCGTGCTCATTGGCTGTCCGCCACCCAGCTGTTGTCTGCGCCCCGCAACCTACCCCCGGCTGGGAGGTGGGGTGGGGCCCCGCGCCGCCTACCCCGACGCGATTGGCCGTCGGGGAAATGGGCTGCGGCTGAAGCTGGCCAACCGGCGGCGTGTTGCTGGGGCTCTGCGGCCGCGGATAGGCGCTGGCCCGTGGCAGTCAGCGCCAGCAGGGTAGGCTGAGGCGGTATAAGACCAGGCGGCAGGCCCCGGGGGGGCGGAGGCGCTGCAGAGCTGCCGGGCGACGAGGAGCTCCGCCTCACGCGCGGCCGCGCTCCGTCTGCCGCGCCCGGGCTCGGGGCAAGTAAGTGTAGTCCCGCGCCGGGCGGCGGAGCGCAGTGGTGGGGGGTGGAGGAGGCCGCGGCTCCCGGCTCCCTCACGGGGCTCCGCGGGGGCTGCGCCGGGCGGAGCCTCGGGCCATGTGACCGCGCTGTTTACCAACACGGCCGGGCCTCAGCGCCCTGGGGGGGACCAAGCCCCTTCTCCCCCTCCCCAGCACGGGCCCGCTGGGGTGTGCCTCATTCCTCCAAAACCCCTGTCCTCACCCGGGGCGGGGAGTGTGAGGAAAAGATCCTCTTTTTTTTTTTTTCTTTTTTTAATAGGGGGAAATAGTAAAAAAAAATCACGAGCCCCAGCACTTGAGGCGTCCGCGTGCTCCTCCCCCAGGACCCCTCCTGGTCGCGTTGCTGACGGTGCCTTGCCTGGGTGTTTTGGTTTTTTGACAGCGCGCGTCGGAGTGGGGGGGACGGGGACACAGCTCCCTGGCTCCCTCGCGTCTTGGAGGAAGTTGCAGGCTGTCCTGCCGGCCTGGTCCGATCCTCCCCGTGTCCCTGCCATTCCCTCCGTCCCAATGGCGAGGAGCACGGCAGTCCTCTCCAGCCTGTCCGCGCAGTACCCAGCAGCTGCGCTGTCGAACCCGAGCTGAAAAGTGTGTTTGCAGCGAGGTGTTCTGGCCTCTGCGGTTTCAGTGAGGGGGGGAAAGAGGCACTGTCCAGATGTCCTTTGCTTCATGCTCCTTTCTTCCCCTTTGAAGCCCTGTGTACTGGCCCTTTGGGTGCGTTCCTGCTCTTTTTGTTGTTTTGCAGCTATGGGGGGGAAGGAAAAATAAAAAATTAAATAGGTCCTGTGCTTTTAAAGGCTCCAGGTAAGAGCGGTCTTCCCTCTGAGCCATGGGCAGCGAGACTGGCTTCTTTGGCATTAGGTTTCCTTGGGGTTTGAGGGGCCAGACCCTCAGCTGTGGTTTTAAATCGGGGATGCCTCTGAAATTGGTGGGAATGCACAGACTTTTACACCCTTTGGCCGTCTGCCGCCCTTCCTTTTACAAGGAGGAAACTTGGTAGCCTATTTCATGGTTGACGGTAAAGAGAAGTTTCCTGGTGAACACACAGACCTGTCAGTCTGAGTGGAGCATATGTCCCGGTTGTAGGCCCACGTTGGCAACTCCAGCGGGACAAGCAAGCCTTTCCTCGGCAGCGTCTTGCTTGCTCCGCACTTGTAGCATAGCTCATACTTTCTGGTTTTGAATCCCTCTGCTTTATGTGCCCACAGCCAGTCTAGCCTGAGAGTTAGGCTGGTTGCCTGCTGGTGCTGGATATGGGTCTCTTTTTCAGCAACTGGGAGTGACTTCCTCCCAGAAAGTCCACCTGTCATCTGACTGGCTGTGCCACTTTTGTGTTTGCAGGAAATAACAATTAATGATGCTTATTTCTCCTACATCTTCCACCTGACAGTCGGGTGGCACTTAACAAACATGAATTAAGTCTCGTTGCTGCATCCCTGTGATGTAGGTAAATAACTATTATCCCTATTTTACTCATGGTTAAACTAGTGACAGAGCCATGGTTTGCTTAATGCCTTGCAGTCCGGAGCAGATATGGATATGAAACCCAGGCATCTGCCTTCCAATTTTCTCTTCTGCCTGGTCCACACTCCTTGGCAGCGATCCCATTTTATGCAGTATGCCATCTGGGGTTATCGGCACTTGGAGAAGCAGAGGTGGGATGTTCTGCTGACTCATGAGTGTGTGAGGTTTTTTGGTTTTCTTTGCTGTGATGGTAATGATTTCTTTAAGTGCAAGCTATTCCTGTCAAACCAAATGCACATCACTGAAGAAGCCAAAGCCAGCCAGGTTTGCATTTGCCCTTCAGAGCAGTTTTCATCAGCTGTACATAATGGAGATAATAACTGTTACCTATGTCATAGGGGTATTTGCAAGCCTTAATCTATTAATGAGCCTCAGATAAAGGATTTTACAGAAGTTGCAGCGTATACGTACTGTTGGCTTACGTTGGTATCTCAGCAGCTCCTTAATATGAAGAATTGCTTTTGAGTTAAGCAAACTAATTTTCTTTTCGTCGTACATCACCAGAATGTGAAGCGCTGGGGAATGAGACTTGACTTTACTAAAGGTACAACCTATAGACCATCACCTAGATAAACAGATTGCTCTCCTATAATGCCTCTAAGATGTTACTTGATACTCCTGCTAATTTTCACACACCCAAATTGAGAAGGTGGTCCTTTTAATAGGTAGATAATTGAGCATCTTGAGGTGTTATGGTCCGAGAACAAAAATAATTAACATCACCAGCACTTGATATCCAGGTGCAGCTTGCACTGCTACAATTAAATGCAGACTTGAGTGAATGGGATGCAGACCTCTGTCAGATAAAATGTTCTCACTTCTCCTGGTTTGCATTGCTATTGACTTTGTCATGAGAAGCACAGGCCCTGCATGGCTCAACAGTATACTTGAGGATTTAGATAAAATAGATGTAGGTGATGGGTTCAGTCAATCTGTACGTAAAGACCAAGAGACTATATCCAGCACCGTGAAGATGGGGTTAATAACCACTTACAGGGAGGGAAAAAGTCTGAAAATCCCAGGAACTCCCAAATGCTCACATTTGGATCAGAAACCAAAAGAAGACAAGGTGCGAGTCAGTTCACATACCTTGGCAGTAACGTATGAGCCAGTGGGTATATCCAGAAGGAAGCAACGATATGGATTGGCAGGGCAGCAACTGAGTGTACCAGCTCAAATGCAGTTTCATCATAGAAAGTGTACAGCTTGATGACTAGGTTCCATACCTAAAACTCCAGCGTGTTTCTTCCACCTGAACATCTGGACTGCTAGCTTGCACGTACGCACAAGGCATGGAGCAGATGCCCAAGGAAATACCCAAATTGCAAGCAAATACCCAAGGAAAAGGCTGGCTATTCCATGGAATGCATTTCTGTGAAACGCAGAGAGATCTGTCAGTTGAGCTTCTCCCTGTCTCCAAGGTTTATCCAGGAAAGGAGACGTTTTTGGGGCGGGCATTACGAGTGAAGTTGTAACATCTCCCATGACAAGAGAAGGCTGAAAGGCAATCTTGTGGCTGCCTACAAACTCATCCGGGGGGGTCAGCAGGGAATAGGGGACACTCTGTTTACCAGGGCGCCTCTTAGGGTTACCAGAAATAATAGCCACAAACTGAAGGAGAACAGATTTAGATTGGACGTAAGGAAGAAATTCTTCAAGGTAAGGGTTGCCAAAATATGGAATGGGCTTCCAAGGGAGGTGGTGCTTTCCCCCTACCTTGGAGATGTTCAAGAAGAGATTAGGCAGGCATCTGGCTGGGGTTACTTAACCTCAGCGCTCTTTGCTGCCTGGAGCAGGGGGTTGGACCTAATGATCTACCAGGTCGCATCTGACTCTAGAAATCTATGAGTCTATGACAGTTGTGCTGTGGGGGCAGCAAAGCGAACAGGTAAAAAGGTGTGATGGGGAGGAATCCTTCCCTCAAACTGGGAAATTAAAAAACTCATGGGATTAAACAGTGAAGACCCAGGCTAGACAAGAAGAATGGGCCCTGTCTGCCTTACGTGGCATCTGACTGCAGGGGCAGGATTTAGGCAATGGAGCAGTAGAGAGGAACACAGTAGAAATGCACAAAGGAAGAACCGCTTATCCCTTGTTCCAAGTCATGATACAGGTAGGTAGCCAGATCCTGGGGTGGGCCCTTTGTCCCCTCTGATCCTGACTGATATGTATCGTAGTTTGTCTTGTCCTGTCCCTCCCGTTTTCCAATGACAGCTTGAACATGCGATTTGCTTTGGCAGGAAGATGCGTGAGGAATAAGGAATTGCATCTTATTACTGCTCATTTATGCTGCTGCCATTATCTCACTGCAGCCCATTGTGTATATTTAACCAGTTCCCATTAGGGCCTGGTATCACACTTCTCAGGCTGTCGGGGAGAGTTTTTCTTAAATGTGCCGGGAAAATGGAGCCGTTTGTGAAATTAGTTTGGCTTGCAATTCAGTGTTTATTTGCAGCCCAAGTGGGCTTTGCTGGTAGGAGCAAAATCAAGTGCTGATTTGTTTCAAATCCCTGCTCCTGCTCCTTTTTAGCTTGTGCAGTTTTCTCCTGCAGTCTGACAGCCCGCACTGGTGTCTGTCTCAACCGGCTATTGAATTCTGTGCTCAGCTGCGATGAAAAGGAGCTGCGAAGCAAAGGTGGGCCTCGCTCAACAATAATGCTTTCCTGCTGTGTGTTACCAGTAGCACAGACTCATCTGCATTGCGAGGATGCTACTGCCAGCCAGCTCCTTGGAGACGAGAATCTTTGGATAAAAGGATGCATCTTGCAGCCCTTGTGTGACTAAGGCAGCAAGGTCTGGCCCAAAGGAGGCAAGAGACTGTAGGCCTGTCTGGTGTGCTGACTTCTCTCCATCTTGTCAGGTCCTTTGTTCTTAGATTAAGTTGTGGGAGGGGAGTTTAACTCCTTTGCTTCAGTACAATGGCAGCATCAAAATGCAACCTGAGGACTGCATTTCTTTCTAGAGCACAGTGACGCAGGAAAAGGCAGGCTTCTGAATAGGGCACTTGCTGGGCCATGAGGGAGGTGGGTTCAGCTTTTGGGCTCAGATTTATAAGGCTAGAAGAAACCATTGCCATAATGTGGTCTGTTGCAAACTCCCTGCCTGACCTTGAGTAAGGCACTTAGTGCTCTGTGCCTCAGTTTCCCTACATGTCAAATGAAAGTAGCACTGTCTCCCAGGCATGCACTGAACATTAGTTGATGCCTGTGAAGTGTTCAGGTAGAAGGCTCTATGGTCACTGTCCTAACACCCAAATTTTACAATGAGAGTACTATACCTCCCTGCCTGATTGGTGCTGTTTTACAGGGCACTATCAGTAGCTTTAGCCTCAGAATGTGATCACCATAAATAATTGTAGAAAACTGTGTGGGTGTGACAC